GCTCAGCCATTTTTTAAATATAGAGCTGTAAAGGAAGAGTTACATGTAGTACACTCTACATAACTTTTCCTGACTTTTAAGATTTATTTTTTTCCCCATCCTTATGTACGATTATCTGCGTATTCAATAGAGGATCAGTTGTATTAAGTAGGCAGTCCTCAGAGAATGAATTTGTCTCTTTAGCTTATCTGAGTAATTAAGCATCATTTGAATGTAGGCTTTGGGTTTAAAAATTACATGCTTCAAAATTTACTTTAAAATATTTAAATAATCATATGTTCAAGTTAATAAGCTATTAATAGGTTTTATAACTCTGGGGACTGTTAGTAATATAAGAATTGGCCCAAAATTCTGTTGACTCTTGAAGGCATTTGTTACAATAATCAGAGTAATTGATGAATGACATTGCACATCTATTTAGATGCATTTAAAAAAAATTATGAAAGATTTTTACATTTTAAAAATTTATTTACTTTCCTTTTTTCTTCCTCTCCCGTAGTCTCAGACTATGAACTACGTAGGACAACTTGCAGGACAAGTCCTGGTTACTGTGAAGGAGCTGTACAAAGGCATTAATCAGGCAACCCTGTCAGGATGCATTGATGTCATTGTGGTCCGGCAACAGGATGGTACATACCAGTGTTCTCCTTTTCATGTCCGATTTGGGAAGCTTGGTGTATTGCGCTCTAAAGAAAAAGTGGTAAGTTCAGAAAGTGGGCCAAAACAAAGTTTTGAATACCAATGCATTCTCCTTTTTTCCCTTCTTTCTTCCTTCCCCAGCCCCCCCTGCATACCCAGTTAGCAGGCTGATTTAGTACAGAGCAGTTTCTCATATATTCTGTACAGAGTGATAGTTTTGGAATGCAAAACAGAACTTCCTGTGGTAATTTAAGGGCTCTGCAAAAAAATACTGTGAAAGAAAGCTTTGACCGCTCTTGAACTGTGCAAAAAGAGTAATACAAACATATAGACTTCACAGCCTCAAATGTTTGCATGGCTATTTATTGACTTGTTTAAGTATGCTGGGAAAGAAATGCTTAATGCCATTTGATCCCTGATGTTGCAAGCAACTATTTTTGAAATGTCTAGAGGATAAATAGAGCATGTCTTAAGGGTTGGTGACCTATCGTAAATATTACTCCTTGTTAGCTCTGTTCAAGGTTGATATGCAGTAGAAAATACAGATATTAATATCCACAAGCAAATAAAAACTGAGACTGAGGCTTCATTCACTTGTGGGCATATTTGAAAGAGAATGTGGTACAATTCCCTACCCAGCCAGTCTGAGACTGTGACACTACCGGAATGGGTTGTCCTGCCATCCCCTTTCCATAGGCTTTAGTAATCATGCCTAGGGAGTGAGTTAGATTGGGTTGTAAATTTGACTAAAAAATGGACCTATTGTGGGGAGAATTTACACTACTGTCAGTGGGGAGTACTGTGTATGGCAGTATTGCCTGTGGGTGTACTACCAAAGGATGGATTCATTTAAACAGATCTTAAAACCTCCGGATTATATGCTGCTTTTCTAAGAAGTGAAAGAACACTGCAGGAAACTACCTCCATCTTTGTATTCTGGTTGTAAAAGGAGAATAAAGTGCAATTAAAAGAGCAGTTATTTTAAGGCATTTTTTTGTTAATGGTCGTAGTGGGAGTTACATGCATTAAAGTTGTAAGTTTGTCATAGTAACACAGGCAAGCAGTAGTTTTCTTGTTAATTTTTTTTGTTTTAATTTCCCACTTGCTAGTGTTTTTCTTAATGAGCACACTGATGACAAAAAGTTGATTTTCCTAAACATTTGTGCAACAGATTATATTTTTCAGCAATGTATAGCTTGTATGGTATATCAGATGGTATAGCTATACTTTTTCTAGTGTCTAAGCAAGTGAGATACAACAGGAGTGATCTGAAATTTGAGCTTGAGAAATATCTTTAATTACACTTCTGAGAAGCTGAACCAAATTTGAGAGGAATTCACCTCTAAAAAGATGTTGAATAGTAGAAACATCTACTCTTGGTACCTGCTGTACTAGGCTCTCAGTGTAGTTCACAGTTTTTGCTTGAATGTATGGCTACTGCTTCTTTTTAATCTTCATCCTTGGAGTTGCCATTCTGCATTTGAATATTCTCTCAATAGTCAATTAAATGTTTATTACTGTATTGTGTATGCACTTTTCTCTGGCATATTACGAGGCTAAGATCAATTGGTAGTTTCAAGATGTATGGGAACACAAAATATGCATCTCTGTGCTTCAACTCTGTACTTAAGATATATATGGAAATACCCAGAAACCAGTGTGAGGAATGGGTACTAAAATTATGGATGCTTGTCTAAATCACCTTAAAGAAAAGGTTGGAAAAAAAGAAACACTAAGGTAACTTTTTTATTATTATTATTTTTTGAAAACTCATGTTACCGAATTGGAAATTCAAGAAAATATTTTAAGAATAAACCATTCAATAGTAAAATAAATATGATTTTCAAATCAAAACCATTCAGTTCTTGTGGTTAAAACTAAAAGCTGTTATCGTAATGATTTGGGTATACTCCCTATGCATGTTTGGTTATCTACCTGTAATTTATCATTTCCCATGATTTGGTTTCCTTGGCTAATGGTTTTATTCTCATAAATGGGCAAATAACAGAGTGGATTAGGATACATGGATACTGTCAGTCTTACTACTGTGGTGTTTTAGTTTTTCTTCTTAGCAGTCCATGTGCCAATCTTAAAATTAGTCCTCTTTTTGACTGGCCATTTCATATCACAGTAACTAACTATGAATATGAGTACTCATAATACTAGCTGTATGTCTTGAGGTGTAATTCTTTTCTATTGGCGGGAAACTACAACTTGGGTAATGTACGTATTGGATATCTCATAGGAATTACAGTATTTAACTTGGTCTCCTTTGGACAAAAGTATCTAAACTATATATAACCTGAAATGCCATTGGCATTTTCTACAGTGAGGCAAGTCCATCATGTTTCTATGTGACTTGTACTAAATTATTTTTAATTAGCTAGGCTAAATGCAGTTATGCAGATACCATTAGATAAGCAGATTTATTGAAAAATAAGGTAATTTTATTTGCATATTGAACACATTTTCTTTGGAAAAATTTCTGATGGAACTTAACTGGATGCCCAAGACTACACAACAAGGAGGAAGTAAAATAGTTGTATCTTGTTTTTAGAAAGATATTTGTTTTTTCTTTTATTTCATACATGTGGGGAAGGGTAATCTTTCCCTTTTCTGCAATGTAATCTAAGTGAAAGTACCTTTTTATGAGAATAAACACATTCATCCTCTAACGAAAGCACTATGACTGTAGAAGGGTTATGGTCCTATGTCATATCCCCATAAACTCACAAGCAGGAAAATCTGAAACAATGTTAACTGAGTTGCAGAAATAATTGTGGCAAATCTCTATCCCATTGAAACAAAGCCTACCTTCAGGAGGCTTCCAGTTTGTCATCTTGAACTTTTGGTATTTGGGACTCAGATTCATCCTAGGCCCCAATTCAGGTTGAGCTTTAAACAAATGAACATGAGTGGTTTCAATCATTCATCATTCTTCCAGGAAATAAAGACTATTCAATAATAATTATTATTATTTATGCTTCTAGCTCTCCAAATTAGTTGAACAAGATTGTCTTCGGATATTTTGGGGCTTTTTTCCAATTTTTCTTGTGGGTCTTAAGCGCTCTGCTAGGAGCATGATGTATTTTGCAGATTAACAAAATAAAATCATTATTATAACGGACGCCCTTCAAAAAAGCAGAGGGAAGAGAAAGACACGTGATTATGCAATGGAGCAAAGTTTACTCTCAGAGTAAAGTGGGCCTTAAGGTCAGTGCCTTCCCCTGTGATGAATTATTTACATGAAATTGTCTCTTTCCACAGATTGATATAGAAATTAATGGTGATGCCGTTGATCTTCATATGAAACTGGGTGACAATGGAGAAGCTTTCTTTGTACAAGAAACTGAGGAGGAAAATGTAAGGGCTTTGTGCTTCATGATGGCTACAATGAAGTATTAACAGAGTAATGTGTTAAAATGCTTAATATAGTGCTGGCAATATGGTAACTTTCATAAAAGTTAGATGTGCTGTGACTGAATCTCAACATTACTTTCATATGCTGCCAAGATGCTTGGTGTTTTGTACAGTTTTGCTACCAGTGATAATAAAGTAACTAATTATTTTATTAGAGCATAATTTGAAAGATTTATTGAAAATTTTTTTTTTACTTTTAGTATTTTCAGTCTTGTTGACTGCAGTTGTACAGATTGCAGTGCCTTATAATAATTTTTGCCGTAAGTTCTTATAACTTGGGTTACTGACTGCTGTAGTAATAAGAGTTGATTATTTTGGCATATTTTTAATTTGTCTCATAATTTTTAGCACAATTTTTCACAATTATATCTATGAAACTTCTGCCAGTTAACAGGAACTTCTTTGACTTGAGAATTTTTCTTGTATTCTAATGCAGTAATTAATTTTCCGAGAACCTATTGCACTGGAAGCTAATGAGCCTCTGAAAAACAGGAATAATGGCTCATTTCTACTCTGATTTCCTAAGGATATGGGACCTGTGTAATCACAATATTTGTCAGTCCTTGAATCTGTTGGCATTTTTCAGCAAGGCAGAAAGAAAGAACTTCTAAATAAAAGTTCCAAAAGGTTTAATCAAAATAGAGGAGAGAGGAAAAAAAATCCTCTCAGTGAAGTAAAGATGAAGTGTTAATTTCCTGTTGCTATTAGGAATCAGTGTCTTTCAAGGAAATGAGTTTGATCCACTTTTTAGTTTAGGGCACTACTTGTTTACAGTGAGGGAGCAGAGGAAACTCTCATTTTGAAAGGAATTAAATATAATTTAAAATGGAAGGAGAAAATAAGCATTAAGACCTTAAATGATAACTTGGGGTAGGATTAATAACACTTAAGAGAAAGAAGTTTGGGTTCTGTTTTAGCATACACCATAATTAAAATCAAAACTGAAAGCAGTTTTTTATAGATGGAGGCTGTGTCAGCCATTGATAGGAACCCATCAGTCGTAAGACTTTCAGAAAGCAAGAGTGATAACCACTACCTTTGTCCCTAGTGAAATGTTTGAAAGAAGCTATTGCACTTGCTTAGTATATTTTAATTTATTACAAGAGTGCCTTATCTGTGTACTATGTGTTCTGGAAAGCTGGTAGTTTATGCTGAAACTATAGATTGAGTTAGCTACAAAGCGGAGGACTGAATTGTTTTTAGTGCTTTTAGACAATTTTTTTTCTTTCAGTATTTCTGCTAGTGATCAATGTGTCTTTGTGGTCACCTCTTGAAGCTATGCTTAAGGTATAAACATTAAAGCTCTATTGAGTTCTTGATGCATTCAGAAAGGTTCTTCCAAGTGGTCAGTCTTCGCTGTTTTCACATCTTAACATTCAGAAGTAACACCACATGCCTCAATTAACGTAAATCAGGACTATTATAATGTAGCTTTCAGGCATCATTTTTCAGCCAGTTTTCTTTTAACATTTCCTCTGTTGGCTTTTCTTTTTAAATTGTCTTGTTATTCTGGATTATTTATTACTAATTGTATAGGATATTCACTTTTTTAGGTGCTATTGTTTTATTTGGAGATTTTTCACAATGCAAAATCTGTGTGTCAGTGCTGTATAAGGCTGTATTTTGTCCTCTTTTCTCCACTGTTCTCTCTCTCTCTACACACACACACA